CAGGTTGTGCCTTCTTCTGGTTCGTAGTCTGCGCCTCGTCGTGCGGACTCCTCGTCCCATCCAGCCGCAACGCGTTCCTCATACAGTTTCTGTTTCTTTTCCGCTCGAGCCTTGTCTTGTTCTTCCTTGACGCTCAACTCCCCTTTTGCGTCAGGATCCTTCCAAGCCGGATCAATTTTGCGGCGGTAGACTTTGCGAGTGTATGGGCGCGGTCGTCCTTCTTCGTCGAAGGTGCTGGTGTTGGCTTCCAGGACGAACCGGAGCGTTTCCGAGTATGGCAATGTTCGCTCCACTCGCTGTTGTCCAAACTTATCATTCGGTTCGCCAAAGATGCGGTAAGATGACATAGTGATTTCTTCTGGAGCCATGCCTGTTGGTTCTACCTCGGCACTCTCCGCTTCCTGGATTGATGCGTACTCCTTTTCGACTTGCTCTGTGCGGCTCGCCGTGGGTGTGTGACAGGTAGTGCAGAGACCATTGATGTCACGCTCGTGTAGGTTGATCTCGCGGGGATGAGGGCTGCGGCGAACCCATGGTCGTCCGTCTGGGTGCTCCCATGAGTTCTTGTCCGTCTAGGCGAACTCGAGGGGGACGAGGTCCACGAGCTCGTCGGATGATGCTTGGCAAGAATGTATGTCAAAGTGGAGAACGTAGATTCCGTTAATTGAGCGAGCTCGTCCAAGGCATTTGAACGATTCGGGAGGCGTGTCAGGGGGGAGCGTAGGTGAGGATGAGGTCGCGTGTGGCTAGGTCTGTGTTGAGTATGACGCCGCAGTCTCGGAGTTGTCCTGGCGAGAGGAGATTAAAACGAAGGTTTGGGACGTAGAGTACGTCGTTGAACGAGATGTGTGTGTTGCTGTCTCGTTCTTGCAAACCTACAATGCCTTGCGCATTGGCGCGCAGCTGCTCGTTGTTGGCGACGGTGACGTAAGTTTCGGGGGCGCGATTCAGGTTTGAGACGTATCGCGTGGATCTCACCATGTGCTGTCCGCGGCAGCTGTCCAGGTATCAGGTATTGTGGTTGTCGGTGTTGTTTCTGCGCAGAAGTAGCGCCAGTCGCGGAGTCACCAGGGTTGCCTTGTAGCGCATGTGGAAGAAAGGATCTTCTTCCTCCTTCCATCCCACCGGTACGTAGTGTTGGTTGTCATGTGGCAGACTTTTCCGCAATGTGATTGGCTGGTTCCAATCCTGCTTGTCTTCGTCGTACAGGTAATAGTGATCTTCAGTAAGGGGATTATTCCAACCCTCTTCTGGTTCAAGTAGTCTTCCTTGGATCTCATTTACTTCGTCAGGTTCAGCAGTGCGACGTCGACGCGTCGCCATATTTGCGATGATGTTTCGAGGAGCTCCTTATTGAGGTCCTTGAGATTGCTGATGTTGATGTTGTGCAGGAGGACGAGGTGTGTGATGCTGAGACTGAAGATGACGTACGCATGGGCATCTGGCCCGACCCGGCCCGGCCCGTCCCGTTTAGGGCGACCTGTCAGCTTAACGGGTCGGGTCGGGTCGGGTCAGCGGGTCAGGTTTGACTCTATTTTGGTGACCCGACCCGCCCCGTTGGAACGGGTATTTGTGACCCGTTACCGGGTCGGTTACACCACGGGTCGGGTCGGATCAAAATATGCTACATAGCAGCAGGGTATGGGGGTTAGGTCTGAATTGCTACATTGTAAACTACATGTGTGTGGCCGCGATCGCGCTGCCCTAATGCAGGGCCGCGATCGTGCTGCGCAAATGCGGGGTCGTGATCGCGCTATTGCAGGGACACGATCCCTCCAATGCGTGGCCGCGAGCGCGCTGCTGCGCCCCTGGTCATGCGACGCTGCGTAATGGCGGGAGCGCCTATGCCCATAATGAATATAAATATTAAAGTAGTGCTAACATTGAAATGAAGATTGTAAGAGTCTTGGTAGGTGCACTGCAGATTTACTAGCTTGATCTTATCTAGAGACTGGATCTGAATGTCGAGGAAAACAAAACATCAAAACCAACTGATGTTCTCCACCTCTCCAAAGTGTACCCTAATTAGAGAACGGGTCAGGTAACCCTGTCATTTGACTGGGTATACGACCCGGACGGGGCGGGTCAACCCGACCCGGCGGGTCGCTGATACCCGTCTATAAATCACAGTGACGGGTCACGGGTCGGCCCGACCCGCCCGGGTAAACCCGACCCGACCCGGACGGGTCGATATTCTCAGCATTCCTGACCCGACCCGCCCTTTTGGGCGGGTCGGGTCGGGTCCGGGCCAAATGCCCATCCCTAGGATGACGAGTGTCTTGTCGGCCGACCCAGTTGTTGTGGTGAATGGAATTTGGGTGGCGATAGTTGGATCGGGATTCGCATCGATCCGTTGAATGTCCAAAGACTTTGCATATTTTGCAATAGTGGCGCCTTGGTTGTTGTCGCTCTTCACGGTTGTCTGCGTAGAAGGCGAGGCGCTCTCGGCGCGGCGCAGAGCTTGTTCTGCTCGAGTCCATGTCCTGCTGTTCAGTCAGGAGTGCTGCGCATAGCGCGGCTTCTGAGAAAATTCCTCGTTGTCGGAGTAGCGCTTTGCCGGGCTTCCACTCTGGCCCGAGTCCTTGAAGGACTATGTTGACGAAGATTTCTTTTAAGATTGCGCTCCCATGCTTCATGATCTGGTCACGGATGTTCCTAGAGCGGTTAATATAAGAGTTTGCTTTCTCCCCGTGCCCCATCTTTGTTCTCCATGAGCTGCTGCAGGAGCCTGCTGGCGGTAACTGAATCCTTCGGCTGATAGACCTCAACGAGGTGCTTCCAGGCTTCCAAGGCTGGAGTGGTGCTCTCTTTGTAGGAGCGAATGCTAAGTTGTTCCGCAGGCATCATGTTTCGTAGCAGCACGCTGTACGCCATGAGGGACTCGCTGTAGTACTGAGCCCTGGCGTCGTCGGTGTCGTCCACCGGTTTAGAATAGGAGCCTTCGAAGTAGTGGTAGATCTGCGCTGTCTGTAGGAGGAGCTCAAGCTCGAAACTCCATATGTAGAAATCTTTGCCGTCAAATGCGGCAGTAGTCTTGATTTTTGAAACGCTGAGAAAGCGTGCTTGCGCAAAGTTAATGACTTCATCACTTGGACGGGGAGCAGTTGTTGTTGATTTGTCTGTGTCGAGGGAGAAGGTGTGCGCGGCGGTATCACGACTTTTCCTAGCCGGTTGTCCAGGTTGAGCTGGTTGGGAAGAGGTTCCTGCATCGACTTTGCGCAAGTCTTGGAGTTCTTTCTCCATAGTTGTAAGTCAAGCGAATAACTGCTTGAGTGCGGCAGTGCCGATCGTAGTTGTCGCCTCATTTGTCGCAGCCGGGTTGGTTTGCCTTTCGGCCGTTAGATTTGCTTGGCCTCCGGATCCTCCGGCCATCTTGGTCTTGGAGCGTGTGCCGCTCGCCAGATCTTGGTTCGGCGAATTTTACGGAAGTGAAAATGCGAAGAATCACTGAGTAGCTCTCATACCATGTTATAATCCCAAGTGGGACTTAGCGAAAGGATCGCTCAGGGTTGTTCGCAGAGTAGTGTTGCAGCGGAAGTTTAAATCTCAGGTCAGAGTGAATGTAAATGACTGAGTTGATTAAAACATGCATACATCGGGTTTATATAAGAATACAGGGGAATACGAAAAGACCTAGGCTAGCCATGTACTCTAAGGGGTACATTCCCTTATTGCAACGAAATTCAAAATTTTGACGTTTATGCGAGAATCTGTCAGTGATATCAAACCTCGAAGAAGTCCTATAAGGAGGTTCGTAGCTGGCCATGCTGTCAGAACATATAGCTTATGCATATTGTGTAGGCTATAGTGGGGTAGCCCATAAGGGGTACAACGCAATTAGGGTTAGTACTTGTACTCAGTTCATTCATAGTTCATTCATTCTCGTTTCTTCTCATGGTATCGAGCAGGTTCCCTCGTGGGAACTGTTCTTAGGGCCCACCAAAATCGAAGTTTTTTTTTCCTGCCCGGAGCGCGCCTCGCTTAGGCCTCCTTCGGCCCCGTCGCATCACCCCTAGCGGCCTCCCTTCCGCCGCCCTTGCTCGGCCGTTGCCACCCTTAGCGGCTTGTCGCCACCCTACCCGGCCCGTCGCCGCCCTTGCGCCGCCCGTACCGGCCCTTGCGCCGCCCGTGCGCCGCCCGTGCGCCGCCCGTCCCGGCCAGTCGCCGCCCTTGCGCCGCCCGTCCCGGCCCGTCGCCGCCCGTACCGGCCCGTCGCCGCCCTTCGCGGCGTCGCGTACCGCCCGTACGACGCGTCGCCGTCCTCTGCGGCCCCGCCACCCTACCCGCGGCTCTGCCGCCTTACCTGCGGCCCCGCCACCCTACCCGTGGCTCCGCCGCCTTACCCGCGGCTTCGCCGCCTTACCTTCGGCCCCGCCACCTTACCTTCGGCCCGGCCACCCTACCAGCGGCCCGGCCACCCTACCAGCGGCCCCGCCGCCCTACCCGCGGCTCTGCCGCCTTACCTGCGGCCCCGCCACCCTACCCGTGGCTCCGTCGCCTTACCCGCGGCTTCGCCGCCTTACCTGCGGCCCGGCCACTCTACCAGCGGGCCCGCCGCCCTACCTGCGGCCCCGCCGCCTTACTCACGGCCCCGCCACCCTACCTTCGGCCCCGTCACCTGCTGCAGCGCCGCCCACCACCCGAGGCGCCCGAGCCGCCTCACCCAGCCGAGCAGCCGACCGCCGCGCCACCCTGCAGCAGCACAACCGAGCCGCCCACCGGCAGAGCAGCCGAGCCGCCCAGCCGCCGAGCCGCACTGCAGCCGAGTCGCCCAGCCGCCCAGCAGCCGAGCCGCCGAGCCGCCCTACCGCCGAGCCGCCGAATCGCCCAGCAGCCGTGCAGCCGAGCCGCCGAGCCACCGAGCAGCCCAGCAGCCGAGCCGCCGAGCTGCCGAGCCGCCCTACTGCCGAGCCGCCCGGGCAGCCCCCTCTGGTGAGCACAACGCCTCTGTCACTGCACTGCCCTTTCCCTACTGTTTGCACTGCTAGCCTACTGTGGTCATGGCTACCCCTAGTGTCCTCGCTTTTGACGCTGAGGGTCGAGCCATTGACTTTGACGTCTGGGTCGATGACCTGCAGTTGTTCTTACACTGCGATAGGGCAGACGGCCTCTCTCTCTTTGACCTCACCTCTGGCGCCTCTCCTGCCCCTGCTGCTGATGCTGACGCCACTGTTCGCTCCCAGTGGGCCACGCGCGACGCTGCTGCACGTCTTGCTGTGCGTCGCCACCTCCCTACCTCTGAGCGTGCGCACTTTAGTCAGTACAAGAGTGCTCAGACCTTGTACGACGCTGTAGTTGCATGCTACTCCTCCCCTGCTACTGCTGCACTGAGCCGTCTCATGCTACAGTACCTCTTCCCTGACCTTGCTGCCTTTCCCACAGTAGCTGACCTCATTACGCACCTCCGCACTAGTGACACTCGCTACCGCGCTGCGCTTCCTGCTGACTTCTGCGCCAAGAACCCCCCCCCCATGTACATCACTCTCTACTACATAGTCACTCGCCTCCCTGACTCCCTTCGTGTAGTCAGGGACCACTTCCTCTCAGTCTGTCCCACCACTCTCACTGTTGACCTCCTCGAAAAGGCCCTCCTAGCGATAGAGAAGAGCATAGTCGCTATAGGAGCCTCTCGAGGTGACCCGCGCACCCCCATCTTTGAGGGGTGTTCCCCCTCCCCCCTTCTACCCTCTGTTGCCTCTGCTGCTGCGGCCGACCTCCTTGGTCTTGAGTCGGTCGGTGCGGCGTCTGCCCCTAGCGGGAGACGCCGCTCTGGCAAGGGCAAGGGGGGCAGGGGCACTGGAGGAGCGAGCGGGGGCGGTGGAGGTGGAGGTGGAGGCGGCGGGGGGAGTGGGGGTGGCGGTGGGAGTGGAGGTGGGAGTGGAGGGGTCGGTGGCGGCAGTGGAGGCGGAGGCAGCGGCGGCGGTGGCGGTGGGAGCGGAGGTGGCGGAGGTGGAGGCGGTGGAGGAGGCGGCGGAGGCGGCGGCAGTAGCGGAGGCGGCAGAGGCGGCGAAGGCGGCGGGGGTGGCGGTGGAGCTGGTCACGGGTCTTCTCAGAGGAGTGGCTCCGGTGGTGGCTCGCGCCAGCAGCAGCAGCGCGGTCGTGAGACCCTGTCCCCTCAGCAGCTCCGTAAGTGGTACACTGCACGCCAGCGGGGTGGGGGTTTTGGTCCGTGCACCTACGTCCTGCGCACCGGCGACCGTGCGGGTGAGCAGTGTGGGGGTGCGCACCCCACCCAGCGCTGCTTTGGCCGCCTGACCGACGCGTGGCGTCACCAGTTCCCGGAGGCTACAGAGATCCCTCGCTGTGGCGAGCTGTCTAGGGCGGGTGTTGCCATCTATGATCTTGACTTTGATGCTATTCTTTCTGCCATGTATGCTGTGTCTATTAGTGATGAGGGTGCTGACCTACAGGATGGGGGAGTCCACCAGTTCACTCCTGCTCGTCAGCGGGTGACGCACTGCACAGAGGCTAGCACAAGCCGACACCTTGCTACGTTCACCCGTCAGCCGGGGTCGAGCCTGTACACACTGACCATTGCGTCTCCTCCAGTTTCTGAGTCTGGTAGGGTAGCTGCGTCGGGTCAGGTGTTTGCTGCAGCGTCCAGGTCTGGTCCTGAGTCTGCCCCCTATTCGTGTCGTCTCCTGTCTCACGAGACTCTCCTCTGGCACCACCGCCTGGGTCACCCCTCTCTGCTTCGGGTCAGAGGCATGGCCTCCCGTCTTCTTGTTTCTGGTCTTCCCCGGTCCCTCCCTCCCCTTCCTCAGGGCCCTGGCCCTACCTGTGTCCCCTGTGTCGAGGGGCGCCAGCGTGCTGCCCCTCACTGATCCCAGTTTCCTCCGACAGAGGCCCCGCTGCAGACGCTTCACATGGACGTGTGGGGCCCAGCCCGCGTCCGTGGACAGGGTCACGAGCGCTACTTCCTGCTCGTTGTTGACGACTACTCGCGTTACACCGCAGTCTTCCCCTTGCGCAGCAAGGGTGATGTCATTGAGGTGCTGATCAACTGGATCCGCGCAGCTCGTCTCCAGCTCAGGCAGAGCTTTGGCTCCGACTTTCCTGTTCTGCGTCTGCACTCGGACAGAGGCGGAGAGTTTTCCTCTGGCCTTCTGAGAGCCTACTGTCGCGCACGAGGCATCCGTCACACCTTCACGCTTCCGGACTCCCCGCAGCAAAATGGGATTGCTGAGCGCCGCATTGGCATGGTCATGGACGTCGCTCGTACGTCTATGATGCATGCGGCTGCTCCCCATTTTCTGTGGCCGTTTGCGGTGAGGTACGCGGCGCATCAGATCAACCTACACCCTAGAGTCTCCAGGCCGGAGACCTCCCCAGCCTTGCTGTGGACGGGGAAGGTTGGCAATGCGTCGGCGTTCCGGGTCTGGGGATCTCGGGCGTTTGTCCGCGACTTGTCTGCGGACAAGCTGTCCCCTCGTGCTGCTCCTTGCGTCTTCCTGGGGTTCACCCTTGACGCGCCTGGGTGGCAGTTCTACCACCCCACCTCTCTCCGTGTTCTGTCCTCCCAGGACGTCACGTTTGACGAGTCGGTCCCCTACTACCGCCTCTTCCCCTACCGCACCCCGTCCCTCCCCCCGCCCCCGCTCTTCCTTGTACCAGGTCCCCCTCCGGTAGACCCCCTCCCCCCTCAGGGTCCGTCCCCTTCACGTGTGTCCCAGGTAGACGCAGTCAAGCCTGTCGAGGTCACTGGTGACTCTGGTGCTGCTGAGGGTGCTGAGCCTGGGGGTGCTGACTCTGGGGGTGCTGAGCCTGGGGGTGCTGAGCCTGGGGGTGCTGAGCCTGGGGGTGCTGAGCCTGGGGGTGCTGAGCCTGGGGGTGCTGAGCCTGGGGGTGCTGAGCCTGGGGGTGCTACGCTTGGGGGTGCTGTGCCTGGGGGTGCTGAGCTTGGAGGTGCTTCGCCTGGAGGTTCTCCGGGTGCTTCGTCTCGCCGGGAGCCACTCTCTCTACAGGAGCTGCGCGAGTGGTTTGCCCGGTGCTGGAGGTTCTTCGGCTACTGAGGGTGCTGCTGTCGCGGGTCCCGGAGGTGCTCGTCCTGGGAGTACTGGAGCTGCTGGGCCTGCGCGTTCGACTCGAGCTGGTGTTCCTGAGGGTGTTGGCGCTGAGACTACCGCTAGCGGTCCTGCTGGGGGTACTCCTGGTGCTGCTGGAGGTTCTGGAGCTACTGGAGGTGCTGCTGAAGCGGGTGCTCCGCCTGGGGGTACTTGTGCTGTCCCTGCTGTGTCTGGCGTCGCCGCGCGGCCACGACCGTACTTCGTTCCACTCCTGCAGCAGGTTCTTGGTCTTCCGCCTTCTACTGGTCCTCCTACCTTAGGGTGTCCACAGCCTGTCCCGTCATAGTTACAGTTGCCGCCTACCTCCCCTTTGCCTGCTCCTTCTCCCTACACTGGTCCTACTGGAGGTCTTGCTGAGCGTCGTGAGCCTGCGTCTCGCCGTGCGTCGCCTGTTCGTGCTGCTCGCGCTAGTGGTCGTAGTTCGCGTCAGCGTCCTCCTCCTGTCCCTGGCACACACAGGATGTCTCTGCGTCCGTCCACTGCTCCTCTACGTGCCCCTTTGCCTTCTCCTCATGAGTCCTCTCTTCTTGCTCTTGCCGACCCGGAGTCGGACTCTCTTCGTGCTGCCAGTCCCACTGTCCCACTTTTCTGCTCGCTGTCGCCTAGACTATGCTGCTAGTCTTGTCGCTGAGTCTGAGTCTGTCTGTCCTCCGTCCGTCGGGGGTGAGTGTGCCCTTCGCACGGACGTCCTTGAGGATAGGCAGGAGGAGTTCCAGTGTCTGGCTGCTGCTTCACCTCATCTCGTGTCCGTACTGCTTACCCCTGAGGGAGACCCGGATGCACTTGACATCCCGACTCTGTGCTCTTACGCGGAGGCGATAAAGGGTCCCTACTCCTCTCAGTGGCAGGCAGCTATGGACATAGAGATGGCTTCCTGGAAGTCTACAGGCACCTACGTTGACGAGGTTCCCCCGCTTGGGGCGAACATCGTCAGTGGCATGTGGATCTTCAGGGTGAAGCGGCCGCCGGGTTCTCCGCCTGTCTTCAAGGCACGGTACGTGGCTCGTGGCTTCAGTCAGCGGCAGGGAGTTGACTACTTTCAGACCTTCTCTCCCACCCCGAAGATGACCACTCTTCGGGTACTGCTGCACGTTGCTGCTCACCGTGACTACGAGCTACACTCTCTCGACTTCAGCACAACTTTCTTGCAGGGCAGCCTGCACGAGGAGATCTGGCTGCGCCGCCCACCTGGCTTCACTGGGTCGTTCCCTCCTTGTACCCACTGGAGTCTCCGGCGTCCAGTCTACGGTCTCCACCAGGCGCCACGTGAGTGGCACGACACACTGAGGACTACGCTTGCGGCTCTTGGGTTTGCTCCTTCTACTGCCGACCCGTCGCTGTTTCTATGCACTGACACCTCTCTGCCGCCGTTCTACATCCTCGTGTACGTCGACGACTTGGTCTTTGCCACAGCTGACACTGCTGGACTCGCCCACGTGAAGTCCGAGCTGCAGAAGAGACACACGTGCACTGACCTGGGTGAACTGCGCAGCTACCTTGGCTTGCAGATCACCCGGGACAGAGCACGCCGCACCATTACCCTGACTCAGTCACACATGGTGCAGCAGGTCCTTCAGCGCTTCGGCTTCACGTACTCCTCGCCTCAGGCCACTCCTCTGCCTACTCGCCACTCGCTCTCAGCTCTGCCTTCGGATGAGTCCGTAGAGTCGAGTGGCCCGTATCCAGAGCTTGTTGGCTGCCTCATGTACCTGATGACCTGCACACGACCTGACCTTGCATACCCTCTTAGCATTCTTGCACGCTATGTTGCTCCTGGGAGACACCGACCAGAGCACATGGGTGCAGCGAAGAGGGTGTTGCGCTACTTGTGCAGTACGTCAGGCATGAGGCTAGTGCTTGGAGGGCGGAGTCCAGTGGTCCTCACTGGGCACGCGGACGCTTCTTGGGCTGACGACCAGGCTACGCAGCGGTCGTCACAGGGTTACACCTTCAGCCTTGGTTCTGGCTCTGTCTCGTGGCGGGCTACTCGCTCGTCTTCTGTTCTCGGCTCCAGTTGTGAGGCTGAGATCTACGCCGGCGCCATGGCTGCACAGGAGCTTCGCTGGCTCACCTACCTACTGACCGACCTTGGAGAGCCGCCTCGTTCTCCTCCAGTCCTGTACGTAGACAACAAGGCCATGCTGGCCTTGTGTCGAGAGCAGAGACTGGAGCACAGAACAAAGCACATTGCTCTTCGCTACTTCCTTGCTCATGAGCTACAGCAGCGTGGTCAGTTGCGGCTTGCGTACGTGGCCTCTGAGGCCAACACTGCTGATGTCTTCACCAAGGCACTTGCGCCTTGTGATCATCAGCGCTTCTGCACGCAGCTGGGTCTTGTGCCTGTCTTGCCTCACTTGCTCACCTCTTGACCTTGCTTGTACTGTTGCATATATATACTCCTGCTCTTGCTTGTCTAGTCCTTTATATATATGTACTCCTGCATGTGAACTAGCCTTGTGGCCTTGCGCTTGTGCTCAGAATGTGTGGTGACTTTGTGATCCACCCTGAGCTTGCTTTGCTTTGCTTTGCTTGACTGGTCTTGTGACCCCTTCTTCTACCCCACTTTGCCTATGGGGGTGTGTCAGAACATATAGCTTATGCATATTGTGTAGGCTATAGTGGGGTAGCCCATAAGGGGTACAACCCAATTAGGGTTAGTACTTGTACTCAGTTCATTCATAGTTCATTCATTCTCGTTTCTTCTCACATGCCTGGTTTCTTCGCTAAGGAAGCTCAAGGCCCGAAACCTCAGATGTGAGGAAATTCGCTCCGAGCCTCTGTGCTCAACCTTGCTGGTTTCGGAACCTCCGCCAAACCAAAGGGCTGCCCAGCCACAACTCCGCTTCTTCGCGCCAAAACGGCAGCGCAAAAAGGAGCAGCGACAACCTCAGGTGCAGGCAGCCTCGCGAAGTTTGCTTGGGCCCTATTCGGCAGGAGTTATGGGTGTTATGGGCGTTATAAACCCGCTGGCCCAGACGCAGGCTCGGGAACTGGAAGAATTTCGTCGATGTGCTGTGCAACTGCAAAAAATCATGGCGTTGTTGTGTAGGCACAACGGAGGGAAGGGGAGGGAAATTAGGGAGCTGTCTGCCTCTGCAATTTTAGGTTTGAAATGGCGGTCAGCCCGAAAAGGCTGACGTGGCAGTCATTTCCCTTCCGAACCTAATCGAAGGGAAATGCCTACAGAACAGTCAATTCCCTCCAGAATCTGACACTACGATCAGTGAAGAAATGTATGGGGGGTTTACAGGTGTTCTTGTTTATAGTCCGACGGATCAACATCGCCGCGCGAGGACTATGTGGCAAACCCTTCAAACCCTAGGCAAAACGCAATACTTATAGTCCCGTTCAGGAAAATTGCATGAAGAGTGGTTGTTTCGCTACTAGTTTCTGGAGTTTGGCATTTACGTAAATTTGGACCGTGCATGCTTCAACTTCCAGTCGCACGGTTTTCCACGCTGATCAATGTCGCATGAGTAACGCTCAAAACTAAGCAAAATCAACTATGGTTTGGGGGTCGAATAGTAACCCAAAAACTTCGTTTCTACCGTGTAAGCGAGATAAATGAGATGTCATCGTCGATCGCGCTGGAGACAGCGTGACAGGATTGAGAAATAGTCGCGGTCAAGAGAAACAATTTATTACAATTAAAAGGTTAAAAGATCGAATCGATGATCCCTTTTTCATCGTTTTCTTTGAATGTTGGGCTGGTTTGATCCGGAGCCTCTGATTGGCTGCGGAGCTGATTCGTGTAATGATTCGGACAAGCTGCAAAATTTCCCGCCAAAAACGGGACTATAGGGGTCGGGCCAACCCTAGGCGATATCGGAAAATTCTACTCAAGGGGGAAAAGGGACTCTCTCAACGAGGGCCTCTAAGCAGGAACACCTGTAGCTTGGCGGGAAGGTATAACTGGCTGGCTTCAGCTTGGTTCGCTCACGGTTGAGAACCTCAAAGTTCGGCGGCATCCTCAACTGGGGGGATTCGCTCCGAGCCTCTGTGCTCAAACTTGGGGTCTACCCAACCAAACCACCGCCTCTTCGAACCGAAACAGCAGCGCAAACAGGGTTACAGGAGCGCACCAACAACCAGCGATAACATCGGATGCGGGCAGCCTCGCGATGTTGGCTTGGGAACAAGTCGCACATCTCCTCGAAACCCTACCCAACTGTCAAACAATATATGTGTTATATTTGTGTAGGCTACAGTGGGTTAGCCTTTAGGGGGTACATCATTCTAGGGTTAGGTACTTGTACTCCCATTCCTTTCTAGTTCAATCACTTCTTTCTAACATGGTATCAGAGCGTAGGTTTAGACCTAGGATCGCTCCTTAGGGCCCACCATTCCGCTCTGCTTACTAGCGCCCTCGTGCGCCCTACTGACGAAGCGCCCTCGAGCGCCTCCTCCCAGCGCCCTCGTGCGCCCTCTCTTTAACGACCCCCTAAGGCCCCACGACCCCCGACCCGCCCCTTAGCGACCCGCGCGCCGCCCCTTAGAGGCCCCGTCGGCCCTGCGCACTGCCCCTTAGAGGCCCCGCTGGCCCCGTCGACCCCAGCGAGCCGCCCTTTAGAGGCCCCGCTGGCCCCGTCGACCCCGCGCGCGACCCGCTTAGAGGCCCCGTCGGCCCCGTATGCCCCGCCCGCGCCCACCACTTAGCGGCCCTGTCGGCCCCCTCGACCCCACGCGCCGCCCCTTAGCACCCCGCACGCGACACCCACGGCCCCGCCAGAACGAGCCGCCCGAACTGAACAGCCCGAACCGAGCCGCCCAGCCCGAACCTAGCCGCGCCGCCCTACTCGAGCCGCGCCGCCCTACCTGAACCGAGCCGCGCCGCCCGTACTGGACCGAGCCGCCCTACCTGAGTCGCACTGCCTACTGTTTTTGGGGTGCACCTACTGCTACTACTGCTACTCTACTGCTACTCCTACTACTGCTATGGCTAGCCCTCCTGTACTAGCTTTCGATGCTGAGGGCCGCCCAGTGAAGTTCGAAACCTAGCTAGATGACCTACACCTCTTCCTACAGCTCACTGCCAAGGAGGACATCTCACTTTACGATCACGCCCTAGGCCATGCTACTGCTCCTGCTGCTACTGCTGACAGCACTACCCGCTCACAGTGGCAGACTCGTGACGCCCACGCTCGCTTCGCTATTCGCAACTCCCTGCCGATAGATGAGCGCGAGCACTTTGGCCAGCACAAGACTGCACAGGCTCTGTACACCGCTGTCGTTGCCCGCTACTCCTCACCTGCCTCTGCCGCGCTAGGCCGTCTCTCACTCCCCTACCTGTTTCCCAACCTGGCCTCGTTCCACACAGTCGCTGACCTCATCACGCACCTCCGTACTAGTGAGGCCCGCTTCCGTGCCGCCATGCCCGATGAGTTTCTGGCCAAGAACCCCCCCCCCCGCTCTGGCTCACTCTCTACCACCTAGTCACCCCCCTCCCTGACACTCTACGTGCTGTCAGGGATCACTTCCTAGCTCGCTGCCCCATTGAGCTCACCATTGCCCTCCTCGAGAAGGAACTGGCAAAGGCTAGCATAGTCGATGTAGGTGCCTCTCGTGGCGACCCCCGCACCCCTTTCTTTGAGGGGTGTTCCCCTTCCCCCCTTCTTCCCTCTGTAGCCTCTGCTTCTGCTGTCGACCACCTTGGTTCTGAGAAGGTCGGGGCTGCGTCTGCTTCGAGCGGGCGCCGCAGCGGCAAGGGCAAAGGGGGCAAGGGAGGCGGAGGTGACGGCGGGGGAGGCGGTGGTGGGGGTGGTGGCGGCGGTGGGGGTGGTGGTGGGACTCGGGGGACTAGTGGCAGCGGTGGGGGTGGTAGCGGCAGCGGCGGGGGAGGTGGCAGGGGCGGGGGCGGTGGTGGGGGCGGCGGTGGACGCGGCGGCGGCAGGGGAGGAGGTGGTCGAGGAGGTGGCGGCGGCGGTGGTGGTCGTGGAGGCACTGGCGGCGGCCAGAGCCTGCAGCACACTCCGTCGCCCCAGGAGCTCCGTCAGTGGTACGCTCAGCACGGGGGGGGGGGGGGGGGGGGGTGGCCTTAGCTGCACGTACGTCATCCGCACTGGTGACCGCACTGGTCAGACGTGTGGGAGGGCGCACCCTACGCAGCGCTGCTTCTCATGCCTCGACGACGCTTGGCGTACTCAGTTCCCTGATGCCACTGAGCTGCCCCGCTGGGCTGATCTGATGAAGCAAAACATTGATATCTTTGCTCTAGAATTTGATGCTATTCTCGCTGCCATGTATGTGATGTCTATTAGTGGAAGGGTGCTCAGTACCTGCGTGTTCCGCCCGACCCGGGCATTAGAACCGGTGAGGCTGCCGCTCTAGGTGCTAGAGTGTCTGCTACCCCAGGTGCTGGTGAGGCTGCTGCTCTAGGTGCTAGTGCGTCTGCGCCCCCTGGTACTGAGTCGACTGAGGCACTGCACACCTTTACACTAGACTCAGGTGCCTCCTGCTGTTTCTTTCGTGACCGCACGGCTCTTGAGCAGCTTGCTCGGCCCGTTGCAGTCTCTCTCGCTGACCCCTCTGGGGGTCCAGTCCTTGCGACCTCCTCCACTGTCCTCCTCTGTCCGGCCGTCCCGTCGGGCACACTGCCCGGTCTCTACCTCCCCTCGTTCTCTACGAACTTGGTGGCGGGTAGTACGCTCCAGGACAGGGGTGTCCACCAGTTCACCCCTGCCTACGAGCGCGTGACACACAGCACGTGTGCTCGGACGGGCCGTCACCTGGCGACCTTCACACGGCAGCCGGGGTCGGACCTGTACACACTGACTTCTGAGTCCCCTCAGGTAGCTGCATCTACGTCTGCGTCAAGTCAGCTGTCGGCCCCTTGCTCGTGCCGCTCTCTGGCGCACGAGACCGTCCTCTGGCACCACCGACTTGGTCACCTGTCCGTGCAGCGCCTTCGTGCCATGCACTCCCGGTACCTTGTCTCTGGTCTTCCCAGCGTTCTCCCTCCCCTCCCACCCTCGCCTGCTCCTCCCTGCCTTCCCTGTGTCGAGGGGCGGCAGCGCGCTGCTCCTCACTCCTCCTCGTTTCCCCCAACGACTGCTCCCTTGCAGACGCTCCACATGGACGTGTGGGGCCCCGCCCGCGTCCGTGGTCAGGGTCAGGAGAGGTACTTCCTGATAGTTGTTGACGACTACTCCCGCTACACCACGGTCTTCCCCTTGCGCACCAAGGGTGAGGTCCCTGATGTTTTGATCCCTTGGATCCGCGCTTCTCATCTCCAGCTCAGCGAGCGTTTCCACTCGGACTTTCCTGTCCTGCGCTTGCACTCTGACAGAGGTGGTGAGTTCTCCTCCGACCTCTTGGCAGCCTACTGTGCGGAGCACGGCATCCGCCAGTCGTTCACGCTTCCGGCCTCTCCACAGCAGAATGGGGTTGCTGAGCGCCGCATTGGCCTCATCATGGAGGTCGCTCGTACCTCCTTGATCCACGTGGTTGCCCCCCACTTTCTGTGGCCGTTTGCGGTCCGATACGCTGCGCATCAGCTCAACCTCTGGCCCCGTGTCTCCTTGCCGGAGACCTCCCCGACACTGCGTTGGACGGGAGAGGTTGGCGATGCGTCGCCTTTTCGGGTCTGGGGATCCCGAGCTTTTGTTCGAGATACGTCCGCGGACAAGCTCTCCTCCCGCGCTGTTCCGTGTGTCTTCCAAGGCTTTGTTCCGGACGCGTCTGGTTGGCAGTTTTACCACCCCACCTTGCGCCGTCTCCTCGCCTCTTAGGACGTCACCTTTGACGAGTCGGTACCCTTCTACCGCCTCTTCCCCTACCGCACTGCCCCGCTCCCTCCCCCGCCTCTCTTCCTCGCGCCAGGTGCTGCTGTGGTAGACCCCCTTCCCCCTCAGGGTGCCGCTCCCTCAGGTGTGTCCCAGGTAGACCCGGTTGAGCCTGTCGAGGTAGCTGTCGACTCTCGTCCTGCTAGGGGTGCTGAGCGTGAGTGAGTGGAGCCTGGGGTTGCGGAGTCTGGGGGTGCTGAGCCTGGGGGTGCCGATTCTGGAGGTACTGAGCCTGGGGGTGCTGAGCTTGGGAGAACGGAGCCTGCGGGTGCTGAGTCTGGGGGTGCTGAGTCTGGGGGTACTGAGCCTGGGAGTGCTACACCTGGAGGAGCTCTCTCCTCACAGCAGCTGCGTGAGTGGTACTTACAGTACAACAGCCTCAGGAGAGGTGCTTCGGGAGCTAGGAGTGCTGCTGGAGATGGTGCTCGTGCTTCCTCTCCTAGGCGGGAGCTGCCCTCTCCCCAACGACTCCGTGAGTGGTACGCACGGCGCTGCAGTCTCAGGAGTGGCGCTCCTAGTGTTGCGGACCCTGCTACTGGTGCTGCGGACCCTGGAGTTAGAGCTGGTGCTGGTGCTACGGACCCGGGCGTTGGAGCTGCTGCTGGTGCTGCGGACCCTGGAGTTGGGGTTGCTACTGGTGGCTCGGACCCTGGAGCTGGGGTTGCTACTGGTGCGGCGGACCCGGGAGTTGGAGCTGCTGCTGGTGCTGTGGACCCTGGCGTTGGAGCTGCTGCTGGTGCTGCGGACCCGGGCGTTGGAGCTGCTGGAGCAGCTGGTCCTGGAGGTGCTTGTGCTGGAGGTACTGGAGGTGCTGGAGGTGCTGCTGGAGCTGCTGGAGGTCTCGTGCTGTCTCTGCTGCTGCAGGGGGCACCTCACGGCCGCGGCCGTACTTCGTTCCACTCCTTCAGAAGGTTCTTGGTCAGTCGCCTCCGCCTGGTCCCCCTCCCTCTGTAGAGTGTCCACCGCCGGTCCAGTCGCAGTCACAGCTACCGCCTGCCTAGCCACTTCCTCGTCCTTCTCCCTACACTGGTCCTACAGGCGGTCTCACAGAGCGTCGTAAGCCTGCGTCTCATCCTGTGTCGCCTGTGTCCCGTTCTGAGTCACCTGTTCGTACTACTTCCACCAGTCGCCGTACTCCGCGTGAGCGTCCGCCACCTGTCCCTGGCACACACCGGATGTCACTGCGTCCCTCCACTGCTCCACAGCGTGTCCCTCTGCCGTCTCCTCCTGAGTCCTCTCTCCCTGCTCTTGCTGACCCGGAGTCTGACTCTCTTCGTGCTGCCAGTCCTACTGTCACGCGTCTCCTGGCCACTGCTGTCACTGACCCTTGGTTTGAGTTTGCTGCTGCGTCTGCCCTAGTTGCTGAGCTTGTCGACTTTGCTGCTCGCTGTCGCCTAGACTACGCTGCCAGTCTTGTCGCTGAGTCTGAGTCTGTCTGTCCTCCGTCTGTCGGGGGTGAGTGTGCTCTTAGCACGGACGTCCTTGAGGACGGACAGGAGGATCTTGAGTGTCTTGCAGCCGCTGCGCCCCATCTCGTGTCCATGCTAGTTGCCCCTGAGGGAGACCTGGATGCACCAGACATCCCGACTCCTCGATCGTACGCTGAGGCGATCGAGGGTCCCTACTCCTCACAGTGGCAGTCAGCCATGGACGCAGAGATGGCTTCCTGGAAGTCCACAGGCACCTACGTCCACAGGCACCTACTTCTCCCTCACCCCGAAGATGACCACTCTTCGGGTACTACTCCACATTGCTGCTCAGCGCGACTACGAGCTACACTCTCTTGACTTCAGCACAGCTTTCTTGCAGGGCAGTCTGCACGAGGAGATCTGGCTGCGCCACCCTCCTGGCTTCACTGGGTCTACGGTCTACGGTCTCCGCCAGGCGCCACGTGAGTGGCACGACACACTGAGGACTACTCTTGCGGCACTTGGGTTCTCTCCTTCTACTGCTGACTCGTCGCTGTTTCTACGCACCGACTCTTCATTGCCGCCGTTCTACATCCTCGTGTACGTCAACGACTTGGTCTTTGCCAAGGCCGACACTGAGTCTCTTGCCCACGTGAAGTCGGAACTGCAGAAGAGACACACGTGCACAGACCTGGGTGAACTGCGCAGCTACCTTGGCTTGCAGATCACCCGCGACAGAGCACGCCGCACCATTACCCTGACTCAGTCACACATGGTGCAGCAGGTCCTTCAGCGCTTCGGCTTCACCTAGTCCTCAGCACAGGTCACTCCTCTGGCTATAGGTCACTCACTCTCAGCTCTTCCTTCGGATGAGTCCGTAGAGTCGAGTGGTCCTTACCCAGAGCTAGTTGGTTGCCTCATGTACCTGATGACTTGCACTCGTCCTGACTTAGCATACCCTCTTGGCCTTCTGGCTCGCTACGTGGCTCCTGGTCGGCACCGAAAGGTGCACTGGGATGCTGCAAAGAGGGAATTGCGCTACTTGTGCAGTACATCAAGCATGGGGCTCGTGCTTGGAGGAGGGAGCTCAGTTGTTCTCACTGGGCACTCAGACGCTTCTTGGGTTGACGATCAGGCTACTCAGCGGTCGTCACAGGGTTACACCTTCAGCCTTGGCTCTGGTTCAGTTTCGTGGCACTCTACGCTTTCGTCTTCAGTTCTCAGCTCCAATTGTGAGGCTGAGATCTACGCCACAGCCATGGCTGCACAGGAGTTTCGCTAGCTCACCTACCTGCTGACCGACCTTGGAGAGCGGCCTAGTTCTCCTCCAGTGCTGTACGTCGACAACAAGGCTGCCATTGCCTTGTGTGAGGAGCACAGACTGGAGCACAGAACGAAGCACATCGCTCTCCGTTACTTCCTTGCACGTGAGCTGCAACAGCGTGGTCAGCTTTGTCTGCATTACGTGGCCTCTCAGTCCAACACCGCTGATATATTCACCAAGGCACTTCAGCCTGGTGATCATCAGCGCTTCTGTACTTTGTTGGGGCTGGTGCCCACTTTGCCTCACTTGTTGTAGGCTTTGCCTGTACTGTGATCTCTATATATACTCCTGCCTGTTTGCTCTTCTAGGCTGAGATCACCTTTGCTGTTTGTACTACATATATATACTTCTGCATGTGAACTGGCCATGTGGCCCTTCGCTTGTGCTCGGAATGTGTGGTGACGTTGTGATCCACCCTGAGCTTGCTTGCCTTTCTTGACTGGTCTTGTGACCCCTTGCTCTCCCCCACTTTGCCTATGGGGGTGTGTCAAACAATATATGTGTTGTAATTGTGTAGGCTACAGTGGGTTAGCCTTTAGGGGGTACATCATTCTAGGGTTAGGTACTTGTACTCCCATTCCTTTCTAGTTCAATCACTTCTTCTTTCTAACACCAACCGCTCTAGAGTGACCGCGAAATCAGAGGGTGTCTGAAAGTAATTCAAATGCAGCTCGAAACCCTACCCAACCGCTCTAAATTGGCCGAAATTGCTCTAGTCATCCGAATTATCCGGAGCCTTGAAAGCTCCCCGCGGCGGAAGACCCGCCTTTCCGTGGCTGCGGTGTTCCGCTTTTCCCTCCCCAAGCCTCGAGTCTGTCTCTCTTCGCTTCTTGCTCCTGCTGCTGCTCTGACCAGCGGCAGATCTGCCAACACCAGCCGCTAGTCTGCCTTAGAAATCCGCCACCCCAGCTTATCTCATTCACACCTCCTTCCAACACAAGCTACTACACGGCTGGTCTTCGTAGTTCGGTTTACTTCCTCGTTCATTCAGTTCGACATGGCCTCAGACTATCCGCCGTTCGTTTTCGCACTTAGCTTTTGGAAGAACAGCGAGAACCAGGCAAGATCGTGCCTTGAGCCGCTGTTTACCAACAACAGCACGAATCTCACCGCTACAACGCCAATGCTGCTCGAGCTGCTGCCGGTGACGTCGGATGCTACAGGAGTGTCAGACGCTAAAGCGAAGCATGCTGAAGCGTCGCATGCTGAAGCTTCGCATGCTGAAGCGTCGCATGCTGAAGCGTCGCGTGCTGAAGCGTCGCATGTCGAAGCTTTTGATGCTGTAGCTGCGGATGGTGAACCATTTGATCATGCAGCTGCGGAAGCGAAACTGACAGATCTTTCAGCGCAGGATGCTGAAGCCTCGAATGCGAGATTGTTGGATGCAGCAGTCCCTATCGTTGCAACAGCGCATGCCGCGGCATCAGATCCGCTCATTTCACCTCCAACGGTTCTATCTTCGGCGGCTCGCGCCTAGTTAGAAAGTACGGTCGTAGTGTCGCGCATCCCGAAACCGAGCAAGGGAGCAGCGATTAGGAGGCGAGTGGAGGGAACAACACTGATTCCCAAGCCTAAATGTGCCGCACCGCACAGGGAGGTGAGGGGAGTGGAAGTTGAAGCTGCGGGCAAGCAGCCTCGCAGGACGTCCAAGGTCGTGCCCGCTGCAATCCCACGCCGGCCATGGCGCCCATGACTGCTGCACACATGAAAAAAAAAAGAGGAAAAATCCCCTATAACTGAAGTCCTTGAAAATAAATAATGATGAAAATGGAGGTTGAAAAGAGGAAAGCTTGGGGTATGAGATGGAGGGATGACATGAAAGGCATGTGAGAGGCAAAGCACAGCTACACGCCGAGAGCACCGACTAGGGGATGGGTCTGGTGTGGATGGGGAACACGGTGGCATTACCCTTTTTTGCGCCCTGCTTCACAGCAGGGTGTTTGTGGGGGTGTGGTGGGTGGTTGATGGCTGGAGGGGGTGAGGGAAAGCTGTTGTGCTGCTGTGCCTTCAACGACACCTCCAGGCTTGAGCGCTCCTAGCGGATGGCTCCAGGCTTGAGCGCTCCTGACGGATGGCTCCAGGCTTGAGCGCTCCTGACGGATGGCTCCTGGCTTGAGCACTCCTGACGGATGGCTCCAGGCTTGAGCGCTCCTACGGATGGCTCCAGGCTTGAGCGCTCCTGACGGATGGCTCCATGCTTGAGCGCTCCTGACGGATGGCTCCAGGATTGAGCGCTGTAGATCCTGCCTTCAATAAATCTGTAATGCAATGTGAAGCCTTGTAGTGCATGCCCACTTGCAATTGCCGATTGGATATCGTCATTTAATACAATGCTTCAATGCACTGCCATCTACCTGTTTCCCCATGTCACTCTATTAACCCATCTCTCCCTGTTTCCTCATGTCTCCATGCCTCCTTGTTTCTCCATGTTTCCCTCTTTGCCAATGTTTTCATTTTTTCCCACGCCATTTCCCTGTGTCCCATTCCATCCTATTTCCCCATGCCTCACTGTTTCCCCATGCCTCGCTGTTTCCCCATGCCCCACTGTTTCCCCATGCCTCGCTGTTTCCCCATTCCTCACTGTTTCCCCATGCCTCGCTGTTTCCCCATGCCTCACTATTGTTTCCCCATTCCTCTCTCTTTCAACGTGTCTCCCAGTCACTCCTTGCATACCTGCTTGCTTCCCCGTGCCTCTCTGTCTCCTGATTCCCCATGTCTCCCCGATTCACCACGCCTCCCGATTTCCCCCTGTCTCCCTGTTTCTCTGTCTTCGTTTTTCCCCATGTTCCCCAGGTCTCCCCTTTACCCCCAACTCCCTATTCCTCGTGCCCCCCTGCTTCCCCATGTCATTCACTGCTTCCCATGTCATTTACTGCTTCCCTTGTCATTCACTGCTTCCCATGTCATTCACTGCTTCCCCATGTCCTTCACTGCTTCCCATGTCATTCACTGCTTCCCCATGTCATTCACTGCTTCCCATGTCATTCACTGCTTCCCCATGTCATTCACTACTTCCCATGTCATTCACTGCTTCCCCATGGCATTCACTGTTTCCCATGTCATTCACTACGTCCCATGTCATTCACTGCTTCCCCATGTCATTCACTGCTTACCATGCCATTCACTGCTTCCCATGTCATTCACTGCTTTCCATGTCATTCACTGCTTCCCCATGTCATTCACTGCTTCCCCATGTCATTCACTGCTTCCCATGTCATTCACTGCTTCCCCATGTCATTCACTGTTTCCCATGTCATTCACTGCGTCCTGTGTCATTCACTGCTTCCCCATGTCATTCACTGCTTCCCATGTCATTCACTAATTCCCATGTCATTCACTGCTTTCCATGTCATTCACTGCTTCCCCATGTCATTCACTTCTTCCCCATGTCATTCACTGCTTCCCGATGCCATTCACTGCTTCCCATGTCATTCACTGCTTCCCATGTCATTCACTGCTTCCCATGTCATTCACTGCTTCCCATGTCATTCACTGCTTCCCATGTCATTCACTGCTTCCCATGTTATTCACTGCTTCCCATGTCATTCACTGCTTCCCATGTCATTCACTGCTTCCCATGTCATTCACTGCTTCCCCATGTCAATCAGTGCTTCCCATGTCATTCACTGCTTCCCCATGTCATTCACTGCTTCCCATGTCATTCACTGCTTCCCATGTCATTCATGTCAATTTTATATGCTATGCTCTATCTAGGCTGTAGTGGGGTAGATACTATAGGGTACAACATTTCTAGGTTTCCTACTTGTACCCACATTTCACTTAGTCATTCCATTCCTCATTATTCTCACATGGTATAGAGCAGGTTCCCTAGTGGGAACTTTTCCTAGGGCCCACCAAAATCGGATTTGTTTTTCCTGCCCGGAGCACCCTGCCTGAGGCGCGCCCCGTGTGCCTCCCTCCCGTCGCGTCCCCTGCCCTTAGCGGCCTGTCGCGCCCTCTTAGCAGCCCCTCTTACGGCCCCTTCGCGGCCCCATCGCGGCCCCGTCGCCGCCCTTAGCGGCCCCGTCGCCGCCCTTAGCGGCCCCGTCCCCGCCCTTCGCGACACCGTCGCCGCCAATCGCGGCCCCGTCGCCGCCCTTCACCGCCCTTCGCGGCCCCGTCGCCGCCCTTCGCGGGCCCGTCGCCGCCCTTTGCGACCCCGTCGCCTCCCTTCTCGGCTCCGTCGCCGCCCCTCTTGGCCCCTCGCGGCCCCTTCGCGGCCCCGTCGCCGCCCCTCTCAGCCCCTTGCAGCCCCTTTTCGGCCCCGTCGCCGCCCTTCTTGGCCCCTTCACGGCCCTGCCGCAGCCGCCGCCGCCGCCGACAAGAGCAGCAGCTGCCGCCGCTACCGTGACAGCCGCCGCCGCCGCTGCCGGGGCTGCAGCCGCAATTGCCGCCTACAGCAGCAGCCGCCGCCGCCGCCGTCGTGACAGCCGCCGCCGCCGTCGACAGCAGCCGCCGCCGCCGCCGCAGCCGGGGCCGCAGCCGCCCCCACCGCCGCTGACAGAGACGCCGCTGCCGCCTTGTCGCGGCCCTGTCCCTGCCGGGGCCTCGGCTCTGCCCCCACCACCTTCGGGTCTCTACTCA